TTTTTTTTTTTTTTTTTTTTTTTTTTTTTTTTTTTTTTACAAGAAATTATTTACAAAATATAGTCATTCATATATTAGCTATCAAATTAACATTGTATCAATTGTTTTGTATTACTTCTTTTTTATACTTAATAATTAAATTTTTTTAATTATTATATTTATGCAAGTTACTCCAACGTTATTTGTTTTTTATAAATAAAATAAATCATTTATTTGTCATATTTAATCCTAAATTTTTTTTCTTATTATCTTCTGACATTTTTATTACTGAAAGGTTGTGTTTAATTATTGATTTTAAATTAACAATTATTTTTTTGAGACAAAAAAAAAAATTACATTTTTTGTCAAAAAAAAAAATAAACAAAATCTTTCAGTAAAAAATGTGATGTAATTTTTTTTAAATTTAAATTTTAATTATCAGTATAAATTTTCCTATTTTTAATAAATTTTTTTTGGATTTTACAATAAAATCGCTTCGTCAAGAGCGCATAATAATTTGGTATTTGATATTAACAACGGCAGTACGGTCAGATTATGGCGCGTACACTGAGAAAAAAAAAATTTTTGTCCAGAAAAAAATTTCTTGACTCAAGAATCTTTTAAAATAAATTTTAGTTTTTTGAAAAAAAAAAAAAAATACCAATATCTATCATGATAATAAAATGTTGGGATTAATTTTGATAAGATAAAAGACCCAGTTATTGACACTGGCTTAGTTGTTAGACAGTTGCAATTTTATTTTAATTAAAAAAATTAAATATTCTCAAAAAACCAATTTTTTTTTTAATTTATAATTAAAAAATTATATTTATTAATTTATTATAATAAACTCTATAGAGTTGATTTGTTTTTTTTTTTAATTAAAATAAATTTGCAAGTGTCAATAACTGGGTCTTATACCTTAGATTAAGAAACGAATAGATTAACTTGAATTAAACAAAAAATAATTCGATTAATTAATTTAATCAATTTTTGAGACAAGAAAATTTTCTCAAGAATGGAACTTTTTTTTTCTCAGTGTAATTTATTTAAATTAATTAAAAAATTTTTTCCGTAGCTCTTTGACCCAGTCTACATGTCGTTTTTTTAATTATTAATAATAATTATTTTTTTTTTTGTACAAAAAATAATCCACGAATAATTACGGACATACGATTATAGTGAAATATAAATATTATTATTTAAATTGCGAAATATTTATCAAACTTTCATGATGATTATCTATTATTATTATTATTATTATTATTATTTATTATTATTATTATTATTATTATTATTATTATTATTATTATTATTATTATTATTATTATCAATAATTATCTCTGAACACGACCACAGATCGCAACTATTTTAATTGTAATAAGAATATAACAGGGATTTTAATTATTTATTAATTAATTAATTAATAAATATATTTCAACAACTCGGCAGTTTAAAACTGTTACGTTAGGTCTTAAAGTAAAGAGCACGTTCGTTAAGCGACAGTATAGTAAAACGAAAGCGGAGCTCAAAGCTCACGGAAGCATTAAATGCTTATGCCAATTTTTAAATTAATAATTAATAACACATAACACATTGAGATCAAGTGTCATAACACGTCCGTGCGCTTTACTCCGGACATGAATTTAATTATTTATTTATTTATTTTTATCTATTTGAGACTGATTTTAGATCATGAAATAGTTTATGGTAATATGCAATTCGATATAATTATTAATTTAATGCTATTTAATTTAATTTAATTTAATAATAATAATAATAAGTTGTGCGCAATTTGACACGTACATGGGATTATTCACCAGGTGGGGTCCAGCCACACGGCGATATCAAATAACCGTTGGCACTAGACAAATAACCAGACAATAAATGCCTTGACGAGCGACGATAGCTAATCACTGTCAAGGTCGCTTCCCGAAGGTCATTTGTTTTCTCGGGATATTCGCCTCCGTTTCGCCTGTTCTGCTGTCTCAGCTGTCACTAAAACAACGTTCCCACTGTACCATTTTATCCATTTTAATAACAAATTAATATTAACAATTATAAATAATGATAATAATAATAACTAATAATTATTAAAGATAGATAGTTATTATTTTAAGCCTGTTCAGCTATGGCTTTTTATTATTTAAAATTTTTCCATTGCGCTATATATACAACACATCATTAATGTCAATTTAAACTGAAAATATTATTATAGATTAAGGTTTTTATTTAAGGGTATAATTATTTATTTATGTAATTATTGTACTTGAGATATTGTTGTAATAAAGGTGGGGAACCATTTATGTACGACTGTAAAAATTTTTTAAATAAAATCTTTTTCAAAACCAAAAAAGTCCGATCCAATTTTTTGAACAATGTTCAATTTTTTTATTACTATTTTTTCACCATAATTTTTTTCAGTATGAGGTCTCAAACCATCAGAGAAAATCTTAGGTGAAAATACAACAATTAAAATTTATTTTCGATGAATTTCAGTTAGATAATGTGTGTAAAGATGTTATTTTTTTACTCAGTCTTACTTTTTTCGGCAACTGAAAAAATTATTCGGATAGCTCATACCAGGAAAAAAGTGACACTGAGTAAAAAAATTACATCTTTACATATTATTTAACTAAAATTAGTCGAAAATAAATTTTAATTGTTGTATTTTGACTTAAGATTTTTTCTGATAGTATGAGACCTCATACCAAAAAATATTATAGTGAAAAAATAACAATAAAAAAAATTGAACATTCTTTAAAAAATTGAATCGGATAATAGGCTTAAAATAATAACTATCTATCTTTATTAATTAAGAACACCGATCTTCGAGTCATATATCAAACACAAAATAATAATAATAATAATAATAATAATAAAATAATAAAGAAAATTAGATAACAAAATCCATCTACGATTATCCTTTCAAACAAAATATAAATACTTTGCTCTTTAATTAATTAATTAAATTAATTAATTAACAATAATTGTTCTTAAAAAATCAAAATTTTTTACAGTATGACAATATTACATAAATAACATAACAAAAAAAAAAAAATAAAATTTATTATTACGTATGAAGCTTACCAGCACCACTCCGCGTTTTTCTTCTGTTAACGTCTTCTACTATGGTCCTAGTCGCGCCTCTAGTGTTGCTGGCCGGGGTTGCTAGAGGTGAAACCGCGCTTTGTCTTACAGACCTGCGGGTCGGAACCTCACCAACGGATTCATTGCTGGACACAGATGTACCACGCAGCCGTTCTTTCCCCACTGACAGCGAATTTACATTGCCCGGTTGCTTTGTCGTTAATAGTCTACTCTCCCTTTGAACACGTGTTGCATTAAAATTCGATACGTTACTTGAGTTTAATTGACCTCCCACTGGAGTACTCAGAGTTGATCTATAAATTTTAACAATCAATTATTATTATTATTATTATTATCATCTACATCAGTCTTGATCTTATATTAATAAATTTTAATTAACAAAAAAAAAAAAATTAAACTATTGACCTACAAAGTACTGTCGAATAAAAAATGAATTAAATTTACTTTTGATCTTTGAGCTTTGACGAAGCAGTTTCATCAGTCGGCCGCATTCTCGCTTTTGCCGCCATGTCTATAAGAGGTTCATCATCTGACGATTCTACGTCGACTAAAATTGGACCTGATATAATAAAAAAAAAAAACTGATAATTAGATTTTTTTTTCTTTAAATAAAAAAAAAAAAAAACGGTAAATATTTACAAGCAATAATTTTTTCTTTTTAAATAAAATTCAAACAAAATTTTTATTCATTTTTTCATTATTAAATTAGAACAAAAAAAAAATTTTTTTTCAAATGCATTTATAGTTTTTCAAATTTGCTACTTGCCAAATTTTTCTTTTTATTTTTTTTTTATTAAGAATAATTCTAAAATTAACTTTTATTTTATTGGAATTAGAATATTTGATTTATTATGATTTTAAAATTTAGAGACATTGGATAATTTTTTAGAAAATTGATATTTAACTTTTATTTTAATTGTTCATTTTTTTATTTATTTTTTAAAAAAAATATCAAAAAAAGATAAAATAGAAATTTTATTCAAAAATATGAGCCAAAATTTTACCAACTTTAAAAGGCAAAAAAGCCAATGAAAATTAATGTAGCATAAATTTAATAATTAAAAAAATTTTATTACAAATAAATTATGGCAAAAAAAAAAATTGATATTTAGAAATTTAAAGAAGTAAAAAATGCAATTATCCAAAAATAATTTTTTGGAACAAATTTTTTTGTTAAATAAAATTAAAAAATTATCAAATGACAGCCAACTTGAATGTCACAAAAAGCCATCGAAATCGTTATTTTATATCATAAATTCGCCGTAAAAACAAGCAAAAAAAAAATTAAAAAATGTTAATTTTTTACCTAGTTATAGCCCGAAATGGAGCCATTAACTCCACTTGTAAATAATTACCAAAAAAAATTAACTTGATGGACAGTAATAAGCAACAATGTTTCAAATTTAACAGTCTTGGCATAAATCCAGTTTAAAAATCCGACTTTCTTTCCCTTAATTATTGCTTATTACTTTCCACCTATATTAAAACCCCAAATTACCTTTCTTAGCCTTGGTAAGTATGCTGTAACCCTTCTTCGAATGTTCATCTTTATGGAGTTGTTTTTTAATATTTCCAGTTTCCTCAACACCCATATAAACTTTAATCAACTCCGCAGCATTTTCCGAAGATTTTCTCTTACCAAGTTTCTGAGGCGGTTCATCAGCACTGGACGCGACCGAACTTTCGCTCTCCAACCTCCGTCGTTTATTTTTATTAACAGTTCCAGTTACAGCAGGCGTGCTAGGATTAGCAGAGTTGGGTGACAATTTAGGAACCCCCAATTTCGGACTGGCTTTCGCGTAGGGCGAAATACTGCGTCGCTCTTCGGCCCGTCCAGCCGTGCCGATCCCATGCGGACTACTTTTAGGTGTCTTGGCGATATCCGGACTGTTGAGCTTCTGCGACCGCGTCCTCAGAGACCGCTTTTCATTACTATCATTGGGTATCTCAATCAGCAATTGCTCCAGCAGGGACTTTGGCGGCGGTCGCTTCACAAAATCCTCAGTATTTATCGTCGGATTATTAAGCCTATCAACAAAATGTGTCTCCTCGTTATCCTCAATACAAATAACATCCTGCCGACCTTCCAACTCCTGTTTTCTCCTCCTTTTTCTCTTCATATTTTCCACCTCACTCGAACTATCATCCACTTGAGCAGCCGGACTCGGAGTGTCATCCCTCAGCACAACCGGATTAGAATAAGTATAAAGCGGTGGTGTAATTCTTATCGGCTGCGGATCATCTCCAAGCGGCGAGGGCAAACTTTCTTCCACTTTTTTACTCCCCTCTTCAATTTTAACCGGCTCTTTTTTAACTTGCATAGAACCTTGAACCACCTCCTCGCTCTTATTAACCTCACCAACATTCTCCTGCCTAGTGTCATGCTCAGTCTTAACTTTCCCCTCTAAATGCTCATCTTTATCAAACTCGCCAAGCTTATCCGGACTACCTGGCTTTGGAACTTCATCCTCAACTTCTGGAATATTATTTTGATGTATCTCTTTCTCAACTTTAATATCCTTGACCTCCTCAAGCTTGTCCACACTCTTACTCATCTCTTCTGGCTTATCAACCTCTTCTTTAATTTTTTCTACCTCAGCAAGACAAGTGGTGTCCTCGCTCCTAGTACCAGTTTCTTCAGTCATGCTTAAAGTACTTGTTGTACTAGTTGTTGAACCAGAGACTGTCTTAACACACTGCAATAATCGGTCATCACAATTATCGCTGTAAGTTACAGTAGTAGCAGAAGTTATCAATGGACTTTTTTTATCGCCTTCACTGGTATCATTTTTATCACTTGCATTTAATTTATCATTATTAGTTTCAGTATCATCACTTTTATTACCACCACTACTATTATCATTATTTTTATCATTATCATTATTACTATTACTAGTGTTATTGTTATCATTATTATTATTACTACCATTATCATTATCATTATTATTAGAATTATCATTATTGTTATTATTACCACTACTACTACTACTATCACTAGTATTGTTATTATTATTATTATTATTATTATTACTACTACTACTTCCACTATTATTATTATTATTATCATTATTGTTATTATTATTATTATTATTATTATTGTTGTTATTATTGTTGTTGTTGTTATTATTGTTATTGTTGCTGTTGTTACTATTTAAATTAGTTCGTGATGTTAAGGATTGTTCACAAGATTTTTGTGACTCAGAAGAATCAGCACTAGTTAATTGAGTGTCAAGATAATTATCAACCGACACAGGACTCAATGTTTTAGGATCATTGGACTTTAAAAGTTCCGTATTTGAACACATATCACTGCTAGTCGAGGAAGGCACGTTGTTAGATTTATTACTGGAGGATTGATCACCGGTTATTGCTGTAATAGGTAAATTTTTTTGAGCAACTACACTGGAGCTCTGAGCAACCGATGACTCGGTGACTGGTCGATGAAGAGGAGATTCACCCTGATTTGGTGATTTTTCAGAAAGCGCGTCCATTGACTCGATGCCCGAATCTTCACCAGCATTGGCATTACCGCCATTGCCAACGCGCTCTGCGGTGGTCTCAATTAATCCGATGGGCACTACCACCGTGTCCGGTAGCTTTGGTTTAGCTTTTTCACGGTCGGCTGCCGCCTCTGGAAGACTAGGACTCTGCTGTGGTTGAGGTTTGTTGGTTGTGGGTGGTGAATCCACGCTCAAGGGCCTGGATACTTCGACTTGGGAGCTTTTTAGTAAGCTCTTCTGGTCTAATTTAGCCGCAACAGTCCGATCAGTAAACTTTATCACGTGATTCTGGGTTACTTTTTTGTGCTCGAGTTTGTGTTTGCTCAGTGTCACTTCACTGCTCTTTAGTAAAGAATGATTTTTATTTACCTTCTGTAGCACGCTTTGGGATTTAACAATTGCGTTTGATTTAATATCCACTAGCTCGGTTTTACTTTTACTGGGAATTATTTTATTTACTAATAGATTTGTTTTTGTTGCGTCGTGCTGGACAGACGGCGAAGAAGGCGTACCAGAGGAAGATGCTGGAGTTGTTTTTACAACTTCATGTTTGCTCAGTGATTGACTTTGAGCTGTACTTTGGCTCGGTAAACTCGTACTCTTTACAGTTAAACTGTCATTGTCCAATGACGATGAATTTGACGGGTGTGAAGAGTCTGACTTGTGGGTCGTCTCTGTATTTTGAGATTCTGTAATAAAAATATTTAAATATTTTTTTTTTACTAAATAAAATTGTTTTATTTATTTAGTTTTAATTTATCATTTTATTTTTGTAATAAATAGAATAATTTACCTGTTGAATGAAAGTCTTTTTCTTCAATTAAACTCAATCTTCGTCTCTTTTCCTGATTAATAAGATCCTTCCTGACACCATTGACCTCAGCAACACGCGACGTAACGCCACTCAGCGCGTTCCCTTTGTCCGCGGTCTTCGTAGTTATATCACCGTCACTCGTACGTCTCACTTCTCCGACTCTTTTAATTGTTCCCGTATCATTAGGATGCATTTCAGGGTTCACAGCAGCCGCTTTTTTATTAACGGGCTGACCAGCATCGCCTTTGTAACCAAGTTTCCTCCATTTAGTTTGATTGTCCAGTATTCTACCGCCAGATAGTAAATTTTGTTCACGATGCGGACCTTCACCGGATTCACTTTTCTTTTTCGAGTCTCTTCTCTTTGTTTTACCTGCCACAAAAAAAAAAAAAAAAAAAAAAAAAAAAATTTAAGTAAATACAAAACTTTTTTCAGAAATTTATATTACTTTTTTAAAATAATTACATTTATACAAAAAAAATTTACTTAATTTAAATCAATTTAATTTTCTTGATTTCAGTAAAAAAATTCTTAAACTAAAAAATTAAGTAAATTTTACTTGTTTAATTAATTTTTGTCTCGATTCAAGACAATTAAATTTTTCAAAATTATTTTTTTGGTTTAAAAATTTTTCTCTTGATTAAATTAAATTTTTTCTGTATAATTTTATTTTATTTAATATAATAATAATTTAATTTAATTTTTTTTCTATATAAAAAATGTCCAGCCTTAAAAAAAATTTTAACCAGCCTTAAAAATTTTATTTTACATAATTCTATAATCTAAATTTTAATAATAAAAAAAAAAAAAACACCTCAATTTTCAATAAATAAATACCTTAATTTAATAAAATAAAAAAATCTCACCTCCACCAATTTTATGTTCATTAGTATGATTCTGAACATCATCCCCCTGACTCTTATTCAACCCCTGCGTATTAGCCTGCGTAATAATAGTCTTATGTTTCAAAGGCGAGGGTATCCTACTATTAAGTGGAATATCATCAACATCACTGCTCTTACTCGAGCTGGCCTTGCTACTCGCCCCCGAAACTTGAAGCCTCACCGAAGGATCCTGGGTAGTATCCTTCAAGACATTGGGTTTAGCCAGTCCGACCTGCAGCGAATTATTAACCTTCGCACTGGCCGTATTAACCACCGCGGAGTTGCTCAAGGGCAATTTACTCCCGGAAGTCGCACCGCCAGAAATAATCATATTCAATGATTTTTTCTGCAACAGCTTAGTCCCATCCGTGGTCTCCTTCATCTTCTTTAACTTCCCGCGTCTCTTAACATTAGCCGCATCATCATCTTCTCGCAAAGATTTCTTCTCTTTCTTCCTAATCTGCACCACAGAGGCATTTCGGCCCCTCAAAGAAATATGTAGCGGAGGTACTCGAGGTTCATCACCTCCACTGTTCCCACCAGAGCCAGCACTAGCTCCACCTCCACCAGCAGCTCCCGCTCCAGCAGAATTCCCCGCAGAATTAGTAAAAATTTTACTGACCGACTTATCAGCTTTTCTCATAGGCGGCGTGTTGACAAACGACACATCAACTTTATACGCAGGAGTAACCGGCTCAGACTTTTCCAGCTTCAACCTCAATTTTATTTTTTCCCCCGGCATTGGACTGTCTCTCGCCGACTTTAATCTCCCGTGCTTAAGACTTCCTTCACTGCCCGTAGACTTGCCGGTGTTTTCCGAATCCGACTGGTCAGTGTTCGTCGTAGTGTCATTTCTCCGTGAAATATTGCTATCAGCGTCATCATCCGAGAATATTGAATTAGAGCGGTCATTAGATGGTGATGGAAACGAAAAAAAATCATCTTGATTGTCAACAGCGCTCTCAGGCTCGGAATCGGAACTTTCACTGGGCATTGGCTCCAAATGCCCAGTAAGCGGATTAATTAAAAACTGACGGATTTTACCAGTCGAAGTATACTCCGGCTCAGGATCTTCCTTAACTTCTTCAATACTTTCACAAGTATTAACCACCGAAGTATTATTATCACCCGCACTGACTTTATTCGTATCAGTAATAGGTAACTCTTGCGGAATATTTAAATTAATATTTGAACTTATCGGATTATTTGCTGTCGCGTGATTAACGCGTCCAATATTTTGTTGTGTAAAGGCACCTGGAGCAGTAATTGTCTGGCTTGTAACTCCTGCTAGACGTTGTTGATTAGTATTAGTATTAGTATTAGTATTAATATTAGTATTATTATTAGTATTTATATTTGTATTTATTATACTACTATTACTACCAATAGTATTTGTATTTATTTGCGGTAAAGAAGTTGCAGTTGGCTGATTCCAAGAAGTGGTCCCATTAGCGCCTGGTGAATTATTACCAACGTAATTTCTACTAAGGATATTTTGACTTTGACCATAACGAAAATCATTCGTCGCACTGGTATTTATATTAACATTTTTAAGCTGATTGTGATGTAACTGCTGTTGGACATTTAAATTTTGGACTTGCTGCGGCTGAGGCTGCTGAGTCGCGGTAGAAGTAACAGTCGCGGGAGCTTGTCTAGGATAAGGCGGAGGAGTAGGCTGTCTTGGAGTGTTACTCAAGTAGCCTAGTCTCTGCTGAGCGACATTCAATCCAACTGTCTGCTGTGGCTGCGAAATAAACTGGGCGTTCGCCGGGACGGATTGCAAGGGTACAGATTGTTGAACTGGCTGCTGTTGTTGTTGTTGTTGTTGTTGTTGCAACACCGGGTTATTTACATTCTGAGCTGCTAGCAACTGTTGCTGTTGAAGAAGCAGTTGTCGCTGCTGCAAGGGCGTTCTAATCTGCTGACCGTTAACCGGATGTCTTACAGTCATTTGATTATGCATAACTTGATTTTGCCGATAAGCCAGTTCTTGTCTCACAGGAAACTTTTGCTGAATTTGTACTTGTGTATGCAACGTCGATACATTTACCTGTTGCTGTTGTTGTTGTTGTTGTTGTTGTTGTTGTTGGGGTAATGTCATAGGTTGATTAACATTCACAGTAGCGAAAGCCGAAGGCCCGGTGGAAGCTAAATTACCAATAGCTCCCGCAGTACCACCAATTAAATCTTCCGGTCTTAGAGAGTCTAAATTAGGAGGCGATTCACTGGCCATTGGCATGTCTTTCCTGCGACCCGTTGGCTTTTTAGTCGGCTTCATGCGACTCATACCAGCAGCGTCAACTAAAGCTGGGGGCTGCATTTTTTGGGATATTGTTATATTGTTAGGATGCGAGCCTCCGTCATTTTGTAGTAAATTAACAAGCAAAGGACTGGAGAGCGCAACTTGGTTGCCGTTCGTGCTACTACTGGACGTCGAGGGTAAGCTTGTCTTGAATTGTCCGACAACTTGATTGGGAGGAATAGTTGGAGGAATAGTCACTGCTGGAGACTGAGTTGTAGTTTGTCCAGTAGTGAGCACGTGGGAGGTTGCCAGGACATCTGTGGCTGGATAAGGCGGAGGTGGTTGAGTGTGATGTGGTTTAAATTGTTGAGTAGCTTTAATTGTACCAGCTTGTTGTTGTTGTTGCTGCTGTTGCTGTTGCGACTCACGATTATGGATCGCTTGGGCAGCATGTGTCATGCTGGCAAACGGGAATGGTCCATTGTAATTATTTCGCGGTGAAGCATTTGAATTAGCCGCTAACGATTGATTGCTGGTGATATTGTGGGTACTGATGACGTTAGAAGATGATTGAACGGTTTTTGCGAGAAATGTTGGGATTGGATCACAGTCTGTCGGCGCAACAACGTTCGGCGAGCGAAATTGTGGTGGTTTTTCAGCAGTACCTTCGGCTCCGATCAATTGAGCCACGTCTCGGATCATCGTGGAGATGTTACACGCACTACTGGGACCCGGTAGTGACATCAAGGCATCACTGCTGTCGCTTGAGGATGATGCACCGTTGCTCGTATCACTTCGTGATTTACTTGTGTCTTGTGTGCCACCGGAGTGTAACACGATTTCTTGAGTTTCTTCCCCGAAGCGACTCGCTATTCGCAAGGATATCACTTGGTCGCCTTCCACTTGCACTGATAATATTCCCAATTGTGTTAGTGTTGCTGAGCCCTCGCTCGCTAGCTCTCGCAGTCGCAACGCTGCCTCGCGCGGTATTGAAAATGTTACTCGGACTGAATTCCATGGTTCTACTTTGTTTACTCTTAAATCTTCGCCTTTTTCTGGAAAAATATTAAAATTTATTATTTAATGCATTAATAAAAATAAAAAAAAAAATAATAAATGTCCTTAAGAAGGATAGTCACTGTGAAATTAAAAAAAAAAATTTTTTTTTTTAAATCAAAGTTTAGACATTTAAAAATATGTATCTAGAGTTTTATATGAAAATTCTGGATATTTTTTATAATACTAAAGTTAGCTGACGTTTTTATTTTTTTTTTTTTTTCATTTATTAAATTACAACTAAAAAATATTTTTTAAAAATTGTATATATGTAGTTTTCTTAATTTTTTACAAATGATTTTTTTTTTTTTTGTAATAATTTTTTCAATAAAAAAAATTTTTTTAATTCTTAAATGTCGGCTAATTTAATTTTTATATATTTTTTGAGTTGGTCATTTTTGTGACAACGTGTCAAATGAATATTCTTAGCTCAACAACTTGCTAAATTGATTGAAATAATTGATACTTAATTTAAATAAAGCTATTCTCTTGTTTATCTATTATCCAAAGATAAATATTGATGCTCTTCTTTTCAGAAATTAATAATTAATAATAATAGAATATTTGATCGTCATCGAAATTTTTTGAACCAAATTGAGTAAAATTATTTTTTTTTTCTTTCAGTGTACTTTTTTTGAACTGGTGGGATCTTTAATTTGCATAAATATGAACCGATTTGAAACTTTTTTTTTCCATATTCGTTTATTCAGTAGCTATTATAGACGACAGTCTATTTTGCAATTGGTCTAACTCCTTATTTTTTGGAGGATGATTTTTTAAAATTTTGTTGTAGCAATAGTATAATTATAAATTATTTAAATGATCCAAACCAAAATATTATACCTTTATAAAATATTAAATTGTTTTTTAAAGTGATAATAAATTTTGATCTAATTGTTTTTTCATACAAATGGAAGATTCTCTAAAATGGAATTAAACAATTTACTAATTAGAACGTCGTATAGTTGCACGTAGATTTTGAAAATTTTGATTTTTTAGAATTGTTTGAATCCAAAAAAATCAGAAAAAAAAAAACGAAAAAATTTTTAATGTCACCATTTTTTTTTAATCCAAATTTTAAAAAAGGGAAATTTTTTTGGTGCTCCACAAAAATGCTTATAACTTTGTAACAACATGATATTTTTGAATAAAAATTTAGGAGAATAATCTTCAATGTATACTTTATAAAACAAAAAACCCCGATCCCTAAATTCCTTTATTATCCCAGTGAAAAAAATTCCCAAAAATCACCTATTTTTTCTATCCTTACAGTGACTATCTCCCTTAAAAAAAAAATACTAAATTAATTAAATAAAAATAAACATACCCTTTGATAACAGGTACTTCAAACGATCAACAATAATTTTAAATTTATTTGGAAATTCAGGATCTCCTAAGTCACCTTCACAGGTTACCACTGTCTCAATCAGATCACCATCACTATCAGCCGCCATGACTATAATAATAAATAAAATTTAAATAATTTCAATAAATAAATAATTTTAATAAATAAAATTAATAAAAAATTACCAATCATTAATCACATAACTACCCAAGAAGCCTGGATAGGTCTGGGTATTTTTTTTTATTTGCCTGGCTTTCACAAGCTGACTTAAAATCCACGCCAGGCTTGGTTGTTTAATTTATAAACCTAAAATCAAACAATCACTATTAATCACTTATTAATTAACCACTATTAAATAATAAAAAAAAATAAACACTGAATTTAAACAATCGATCTTTAAACTAAAAATTGTCACGCCCTCAACAATAACAAAAATAAAAAATGAATTAAAAAATCGTTTGGGTACTTAATAATGAGTTAATAGAGTAATAACAATTAATTATCAATTACCGATGTGTATTAAGTCATAATATAAACAATAAATAAAACAAAAATAAGAAATGTTTTTTGGAGGCTAAATAAATTGTATCTCCGTTGGAAAATAAAAATATTAAAAAAAAAAATTTATAACAAAATTAAAAAGGCGGCTTTATAATTATCATTACAAATAAAATAGGTTATACAATAAATATGATTAAGAAATAATAAATAAAAAAAAAAATCGGAGTAATGATATATACTTTGATAATAATATATAGTATTATTGATAGGTAATTATTTGGTTAATAAAGGTAAATAATAAATAAATAATTATAAAAAAAGGCGTCAAAAAAGCATTGGTAATATATAATAATCGGGGGGGCCACCATTTTGTCCGTCGGGGGAGGCGAACGTGAAGTGGGCTCAAGCATGCTCACGATAGCCCCGTCAACCGCACGATTTAATTTAATGTACTTTATTTTTTCATCGACAATCCCACCGAAATATTGTTTTTTTACCCACCAGAGTTATCAGACATTTGTTATTTAACATAAACTGTAGGGCATTATTGTGTATATAATTATTTAGAATAAATAATAATAATAAATCCAGGGTGATTTGTACCGTATGAATGAAAAAGATGAAATGTTGAACAACGTTACCCCATTTCTCCTGAAAACTAGCCAATTCTTAAGCACACTTCTGCTTCTGGAGTAACGAATATTACTGCTCAGAGCTGTTCCTGATAATTACAATAACAACTAGCTCTTCACTTATTATTACAATAGTATTGTATTTAAATAACACTGTACAATAATAAATTCATCCACTGGACACAGTGTGTCGTGTTAATCACTTAAAAACTCGTCATAATCGGCAGATATAAAGGGACAAGTCATAAAACGCCATGAACAATAACAAGGAGCCGCCATTTGCAATGCAGCCAACTGACATGCGCAAATCAATCGCGCGAAGCACTATGGGATATCAACATTACTGACATCTACCATTTTGGTATCCACCAACTCCACCAACAACTTAACCTTTCTTTATATTTTATTAGATTTTTTTACTTATCTTACGGCATTTATTTACTTTATTAATGTTTATTCATTCATTATAATAATCATTATTACCATCATTACATCTTTATAGTGTTTTTTTACATCACATACTAATTTATTATAGTTTTTTTATTCAGTTAATTTACATGATACCTAACAATTTTATATGAATTTTTTAGTTGGAGATTTTTACTGAGGACATGACTGAAGAAGACCATTTTCCTCCATTATTCTCTCGTGGATTTCAGCATCGTAGTATCTGAAAATAATTTACAATAATTAATTCATTTGTAATTAATTTTTACTATCCAAAAAATAACATATTAAAAATAAAATCCTGGCAATTTTATGGATCTTGTCAACAAATTACATGTTAAATAAACACCATCTAGGTACATGCAATTTAATTAATGTTTTAACCATATTACTGTGTTAAAAAAAAATTAAAAAAGTTACAATTGAAATTGAATTTATAAGCCGTCATTTTGAATAATTAAAATTGTACGTGATAATTTTTCAATTAAAAAAATTATCAATAAAAACAATGTTAAAATTAGCTGACGTTCACTTTGTTCATCAATTAAATTACAAGTAAAAATTTTTCAATTTTTTTGTAATAATTTTTTTAATAAAAAAAAAATTATCAAAATTTTGAGATGGCTAATTTAATTTTCAATTATAATTAAGTTAGCCGACATTTGTGCTTAATTTATTAGAACTAAAAAATATTTTTAAAAAATTGCACTTATAGTCTGAACTTTTTTACAATTGAAAAATTTTTTTATCTTTTGTAATAATTCTTTTAATAAAAAAAATTATAAAAATTTTTAAATGTCGGCTAACTTTACCTATTTTCATTAATTTCCATAAAAAAAAATTTATCAAAAAAGAGTCTAAAAAATAGCCTTAATTATTAAAAAAAATATCTATATTTAGTCCAGAAAATTAAAAAAAAAAAAAAGTAATTACTTCCAGAACGCGTCGTATTCGCGTTTACGTCTGTCCATGTACAAGACCTTCCACAAGAGTCCAGCAGTAATACTAGTAAGGGTGGCTCCTAGCAAATGGATTTTTATTTTCTTAGCATACAATCCACGCATTACAGGCTTGGCGATTGACATCTGAAAAAATCACATAATTAGTAAATTGAAAAGGCTGTTACGTAACAATTGACACAAAAATTTGCTGATGTGGATTCTCTGATGTAAGTTTTTGGTTCTCAAGCTTACCTTGACGCTTTTTGTTATTACTTATTGGCGAATGGCGATTGTAATAAACCTCTTGGAATATTACGAGAGTTTTACGTGATGTGACGAGGAGCCGTGGTATAAATGGTATAAAATGTAGAATATTTTATCCGGAACCAAAGTATAGAGTTGACAATATAAATTCCTAGATTATCAGCTAAAAAGATAACACTGAAGTTAGCCGTCAGCTGTCAATTTTAAAAATTTGTGCAACAAATCAATTATAATTTACAGTAAAAAAATGTTTCTAAAAATTTTCACTTCTAATTTTTATTAATTTTCTTGTAAAATTTTTTTTATAATAATTTCATCAATAAAAAATTTTTAATGTCGACTAAAAAGACAGTGACAGTTTCACCTCTAGAGCGCTCAACTAATTCAGTGCACAGAAAGATTACAAATATATAATACCCGACACACATTCAGTTGTTCAGTGTTCAGTGATTGGCCGTTCGCAACCCAGTGATTGGTCGGGATGAAAATTATTAAAGTGATAAAGGTACAACTAATTACTTTTCTTTAATTAATATTGTAATTAACAAAACACTCATTGATTGTCTGTTGCGTCAAGTACTGTCAAAAATTAGTGTCCGTAAATAATTGCAGAGTATCAATCATCGTCATACTGTTTGTTGTGCCTATAATGATTATTGTTATTAATTATTGAAGCGTCATGTTGACTAGTTCGTCCGATTGTGCCTGAGTACATATTGAGTGCAGGTGTACTGGCGCTCAATATTTATTTGTGACAAGTGTGGTTTCTTTAGCTTGAGTCTGAGTGCTGGTGACCTTATCATCATCATCATCATCATCATCATCATCATCGTCGTAATCTTCATAACGTCGCTAAATATATATGTATAAATAATTTGCATACGTGTAAATTATTACAAGTATATATTTATATTCTTGCACTAGAATTGAGACTGTCGTTCAACTTAATTGTGCAACGACGTCAAAACGGTACGTCATGATCATGATCATCATCATCTAAATAATTCTGATATCTAAGTATGTATGTTTGATACAATATAATCTAGTTTAAAATTTTTTTTACAATTATTTACTAGACTACACATACGAGCGCACTTTATGTGTTCAGTCACGCTTCTTTGTTCTCGAGAACTAAGTACATAGTTATTATCGTAATCACTATCGCTGTCATTATCATTAAAAAATTTTAGTCATTTTAATTATCTAAATTTCTATCATTTTTTAGTTTTCTTTATTATTATAATAAGTTGTCAATTATTTTTAAAATGCAATTGTTTGTCAGTGAGAGTAGAGTATGAAAATTAATTTAGCAGATATTTAACAATTTTTAGAATTTTTCTAACAAATAAATTATGGAGAAATAAATTAGAAAAAAAAATTGACATGTAGAAAATTTAAAAAATTAAAAATGCAATTTTTTAACAATAATTTTTTAGAATTAATTTAATTGTTAAATAAAATTAAAAATTGGTCAAGTGACAGCTAATTTGAGTGTCATAAAATTAATGTAGCAGATATTTTTTAATTTTAAGAATTTTTTTAACAAATAAATTGTAGTAAAAAAAAAAAGTTTGGAAAATCCAAAAGTGCACGCCTCATAACACTCATTGATTATTTAAGAAAAAAATTAATTGTCTAATTGATTAAAAAAAAAAAAAAAAATTATAATTAAGAAATTTCTTACAGAGTATTTTTTATTTTTTTTTTTAAATATCGGCGCCCTTTTTTCTTGTCATAGGGTAAATGCACCAATTAGTTGACCGATGTATAAAAAAGTTAATTAATTAATATTTTACAAGGTTTTTTTTTTCTTAAAGTATTAAAATAAAAAAATATGGCATTTAATCATCATGATAAAGAATTACGCAATTAATTGCGCAGTGATTATAGCTTTAAAAAAATATTCTGAGTTTGTTTACAACGCAAGGAGATCAAAATCCGATTACTCGGTAGACAGTAAGTCCAAGACGTTCAAAATCGGAACTAGTCGGACCATGGAGATCAAAGTACGATCAATTTCGGATCAAAACGTTCAAAATCCGATCGAAATTTCGACTCGGGGTAACACAATGATTAAAAATTTAAATAAAACGACTGTTATTATTACCGTTTCGAGCATCGGCCAAAAAATCAAAATCATCGTTCACATTGATGCCAATTTGGTCATCTGTAAAATTAAAAAATCATTATAGAATTAATGTTAACTTGTTAAATATAATATGAATAATTAATTTTTTTTTTTTTAATACATAGATAATAAATATTAATAAAATAATGAAAAATTATTGGTTATTTCACGATTATTATTTTAAACATAACAACAGTAACCGTGCAAATGTAAGCTTTCAAAATTTTTTGAACTATTTTAATTTATGACTAAGATATCTAATAGACAGAAAAAAATGTAGTGTTGTAATAAAAAATGTATAAAATTAGATGCATGTGCTTACATTACACTATAACAATATCTTTTTCCTGGTTCAAAAAGATGATTTTGAATGATTACCTTTATGTAAAACATATTTTTATGTAGCATCTAAATCCAAAGCTTCAAAATTATTTCAAGTTGTTTTAAATCATTTTATATTATAAAAATTGAATTATTCTATTCTTATCAATATTATTTTATGCAACGAGGTTTTTAATTCTTCATACGATATAATTTATTAATAAATACCATTATATCATTATTGTAATAGACTTTTGTAATAAAAAAATATATTTGGCTAGCGGTCGTTTTGTTGTTTGTATGTTCGACTAAAAGTTCATTTACCACATGGTTATTTAGTCAATGGTTTTTCTGTTTAACGTTGTTTTGGTTACTAGTCATTTGGATATTTGAAACTTTTGCTAAATACTACTTGGGTTTATGTTTTTTAGATAAGAGTCTTCTTGGCGGGACGTCATCAACTGTTTAAACGATTTTGTGTAAATAAATTTGGTTAACTATCGTTTTACTGCTCGTACTATAGGATATATGTCCGTTCGTTATTTTGTCATTTTCATTGCAGTCATTTTTATTTACGTCATTTACGGTTATAATTCATTTGGTTGGTTTACTTTCTGCTAGATGACACTCTGTTAAAAAATTTTTGACTGAGAATCATCTAGGCTCGATGTAATTGGGGGTTCTTCCTGCGTGCCGTGAATTTTAATAAAAATTCAATTTAAAAAAAAAATACGTAAACTAGGCTACTGATATGAAATACGGACCCAGTTCATGGCATTCTTGAACTAATAAAAAAGGTCCGGTCTTGAAATATCAATTTGTTCGGGAGTACTCGTTGGTACATCCAAAATGGGGTGACATCCGGACGTCGACGTAAAATTTTTTTCAAAACGTTTTTTTTTTTCAAAATAGCAACATGAAATGATTATAGAAAGTAAAAGATGGTTTAATTTAAGTGTTTTTTTAGTGTACATCTACTTATATCATTGAATAAGTGTAATATGATTGTGATAGAGGCATTTAAAGATCACAAAATTGCTTGACCTTAACGAGTCGAGTATAAAGCACAACCTCACGCGCTTCGCGCTATGAGGCGTGCAATTGACATCTAAAAATTAATAAAAATAAAAAATGTAATTTTTTAAACAAACTAGAATTCAAATTTTCGCGCGCCTTGACTATAGAGTTTACATATATTTTCATGCTTATGATATATTTGACCAATCACGTTACGAATAGTTTGATGCCACATACATTTCATCTCAATTTTATATTAGGATTAATTAAATTAATTAATAATTATTATGGGATTATGATATATTCGACCAATCACGTTACGAATAGTTTGATGCCACATACATTTCATCTCAATTTTATATTAGGATTATTATGGGATCTTTTTATTAAATAAAATTAAAAAAATATCAAGTGACTGAAAATTAATTTAGTAGATATTTTTTAATTTAAAAAATTTTTTTAATAAATAAATAAATCATAGAAAAAAAATTTGACATGAAATTTTAAAAAATTAAAAATACAATTTTTTTCTAACAAATTGTTTGAAAATAATTTTTAAAATGGTAAAGTGATTTAACTTAAATGTCATAAATTGTGAAAGTTGTATTTAATAACTCCAATTGCAATGTCATATAATATAAATATAAATATTATATATAATAATAAACGGGTGATATGTTTGTTTTTAAACAGTGAACTGCTGGGCAGTTCGTGGCGTCTTTGAGATACGATGGATCAAATGATTGCATTGAGCACTCAAAATCCACTGTCATTGCTAATGAAATTCGGAATGATGGCTTGGAATGGCACTTGCAATGATAATTGTTCTGGCCATGGAGAGTGTCACAACGGGACTTGTTTATGTGAGGTAAATTACATTAATTATCAATGACCTTCTCTGGTATTTGAGATAAATTATTAAACTATTCGTCTTTATAACTAAACTGACAATTTTAACTTTAACTGATTTAATTTAATCACGTCGTACGTCGCTATAACAATGATAGTAATTAAATGACTTTTTTTTAGATACAATTTGATGGCAGTGATTGCCATGTCCCGAATTCGAGCTACTACATAGCATTTGCGACAATGTTTTTCATACTTGCGTTTGTGTGTCTAACGCAACTGGTGATGTGCATTGTTGCCGAGTGGCAGAAAATGAAAGCACCCTCATTTTTGCGCGCTTGCAGAGTAACTACCCAGAAAGTGCTGTACTTTATTGTCTTTCTAGCAACTGCTGTACGAGGAGCTTACTTTACTTGCCCAGTAAGTTTAATAATTATTCGCGTTATCGGCATCATGTGCGCTATCGTATAAATACTCTTCTGACCCAAGTCCAAAAGATAAAATTTTTTTTTTTAGGAAATAAAATATCAGTAGCTTAAATTTTGTTTAACATATAATTAAAAAAATTTTCCTGCGAGTATTTATGTCCAATAATTAAAAAAAAAATTTTTTTTTTAATTGATAACAATGTTATTAATTATTCAACAGACTGCACTCGCAGAGGGCTGGTCGAGAACACTATCATCAACCTACTACCCACTGTTACTAAGCGGATCATCTTTAATAGTTTGTTTCTGGGCAGAAGTATTTCATGTCCCGGATATCCGCACAGAGAAACCACTTTTCTTATCAAAATCTTTCTTAGCATTCGTCGTTTTCAATATCATAAATTACTCTTTACTGCTCGCTGAGTTGATCACGTCCCAGATGAAATCGGAAGTCGACCAGAGCTTCTATACAAATGTTTTCAATGGTTGTTATGCTGTACTGCTATTTATTGTCGTTGTTTTCTATTTGATCTACGGCGTTGAAGTATTTTTCAAGGTATATAAATATTATTTTAAATAACAACAGGAATTATTATTATTATTTAATAATAATAATAATAATAATAAACTTTTTAAAATTAACATAATAATAATAGATAGATAAAAATTTTTTTTTTGAATCCGGAACCTAAGCTCCCTCAGAGTCATCAGTACATAATACATGGGTTTGCATTTTTATGTAATATAATTCAGTACAAAATTACTTAGTTAATTAATTGAAGGTTTACAATTAAATTTGATTCTAAATTTTAATAAAATAAAAATATATCACGTAATACAAAGAAGTAAATTGAAATTATAAACCAATAATAATAATAATAATAATAATAATAATCTGGATTATTATTATTATTTTATTTTTTATTTTTTTTTTAATGTTTTATAACAAAGTAACTATTCATAATTAATTTCTAATATTAATAAATTTAGATTCGTGGTGGATTTATTGTTAAATATCAAGAAATATCGATTGCAACGAATGTCCGTACTCCGGGTGAAGATAAAAATAATGAGGAACCAACAACCGCTAAATTATTTGAGCCAACGCCATCGACTTCCGCGGAACCTATTAATGTTTCTCATCATGTCAATACATCGCAATTGAATCAGTCACGATTTGGAATCCTGTCACAGGCATTTATGTTATTCATCGTAATAGTATTTTTATTTAGTGAAACATTGAGTGAATTTTGGAAAACCAAGTAAATTATTTTATTAAAGAATTTTTTTTTTTTTAAATAAATAATAATAATAATTAATTATTTATTCTTTAGGGTTCCATTAGTGAGTCGTAATTATCACAATATTGTTTTTCACTTAATTGAAGTTGGTGTAGCTCTTTGGTTCCCTTGTGTACTTTGGAACTGTATGAGGTAATTTACCTAAAATAATTTATTTATCGAAAAATGATAACTAAAAATAAAATAATTTATTTAAGCCCGGAACGTTTGTGGATACTAAACCCAAAAAGAATTTTAAAACACTTGGACTTGGACCAATCAAAGTATCCAAGAGAAGGAGACTTTCAGGAAAAGCGTTGCCCAATTGACACTAAATTGCTCACTGATAATGCATCAGTCAACAGTAAAGATTGTTGGATCTGCTATGATAGCGAGACACAGAATGCTGGCCCGTTGATACAGCCGTGTCAGTGTCGGGGTGATGTTAGTACTGTTCATCATGATTGCCTGCGTCGATGGCTAGTTGAGGTACGTTATTTTATTTAACTACTTCCTATGGTCTATTTTATTTGTTAACGCATACAACTTTTTTACTTGCAGAGCTCAATGAATGCAGATAGTTTGACGTGCAAAGTCTGCGGTAGCAAGTACAATGTTGAACATGCCACTAAATTGGATTGGCAAAATAGCATGACGCCGCGTCATTGGATTACAACAATTGCTACGGTAACAGCAATGTGCGGATCATTTGCGGCTGCTTGGATTCTTATTCAATTTGTCGAAAGTCCAATCATACGTATGCTTGCTGCTGGTGCTGCTTTGCTGGTTATGTATGTCTGTATAAGGTAATTAGTATTTTTATTTTTAGAGTTTATTTAAAAACGATGAACCTGATGCCAGATAAAATTTTATTTTTTATTGACTATCAACTGTCATTATATTACAACTTTCATTTGTAAGATAATTAACTTTAAAAATATTTATTTAAATTACAATTTATTCAGCGTATTAAGAGAAATACGTAACTTTGAACTTTACGAAAAAAAACCTGTTTACTTTAGACGAAGATTATGGAGATAAATAATAATTAGCATAATATACTACGTACAAAATTTTAAAATATTTACTAAATTTTTATAAGTTTAGCGATTTTAATAGAAGTTTAAATTTGTTTAAGGTTTTTTAAACATTTTTTTTGACGAACAATGAAAAGATAAAACTTTTAATTTTTTATTATTTATTTATTATTATTTTAAAATTATGTTGAGCAAATTTTAAATAAAAATCTTTAGAAAAGCAGTTATAACACTCTAAAGACGCCCGCGTTGAATTATAATTAAAATAAATAATTAGTAGCAACCTTGTAGTCACTGTGTGACTTATGAACTATAAATAAATAAAATTCTTCTTTATCAACTAATGACTTTTGTTAAAATGAACTGTACTTTCTTAACTATTGATGTTTTTAAAGATATAAGCTCATCCTGATGTTACACTCATCAAGAGCTTTCATTTGAGTACCCACATGCATTTTTGATATATTTTTCATATATACATTTATAAAATATATATAAATATATAAAATATATGAAAAATTGATGTGGGTACTCAAATGAAAGGTCTCGATAAGTGTAACATCGGGATGAGCTTATATCTTTAAAAATGTCAATAATTAAGAAATGACTTTGTATCTTGTCAACTATTGACATTTTTAAAGATATAAGCTCACTCCGATGTTACACTCATCGAGACCTTTCATTTGAATACCCACATCAATTTTTCATATATTATATATATGTATATATGAAAAATATACCAAAAATGCATGTGGGTACTCAAATGAAAAGATCGGAAGA